CGTATGCGAATACATCTGTTTCCTCGTGTTAGGTTCTCTTTATTGGCCTTCAACGTACCTGTGGTGTTATCGAAAATGTACTAGCTAGGTATTCGTCACTGGTTACATTGATAGAGAGCTTAGCAGCGGTTATTCTGACGCCTTTCTGGCATGGTAGTATCGCAGTACGAAGCAGTGCTAGACGTGTGCTAGCTTCCAAATTCCATTTAATTAAATATGCTGCTTAACGTTTTTAATGCCATTTCATAGAAATTAACTAAGAAATAAACTGTAAACTGCGTTATTATATATGTAGAGCATTTAGACGTAGGCCTAGTTGTTTAGAGTGTTCGTTTTCTTGTTTCTTGTTTCTTATAGGTTCAATTAGTTTTGAATACTAATGTAGTTTTACAAGTTGCTGATTTCAGTGGCGTGGCTAACCCATTTTTTTCTAGGTTTCGGGTAACTACATGCGGGTTGTGTACTACAGCTGTACTTAGTCGCTACGGCTGATGACCGTGGGCAATTCGCTATTGATTATGTAACCTACTGCGGTGCAATTGCCTTCTTTTCCCTTCCCCGCCAGCCACGGCCCAATATTACATCTGGGCCATTTGTAGCTCCAAGAAACGGTCATTCATCCAGTGACTTTGGCTCGAGCCCGAGTCTGGCTAAGCCGTTTTTACTTCTAATTGTTGTCCGTGTATCCAGCCGTTGTAGTATATAATACGTGCGTTAGGTTAGGCTGTTTGTAGCTCTAAGATACAGTCACGCATATAACACTCGAAAGAATCTATAGAATGCACTTACGAGGCTACACGGGTAGGCCTACAGTTAGCGGACTGGGGTTTTCCATTTGACAACCCATCGTATTTAAATTGCCGGGCGTATACCTAAGAAGCAGATTGTTTGTTTCCGTTTCTGGCGACACCATGGCCCCTGTAGAAACTGTTAAAAATCTAGAATGATTTGCCTCGACCGTTCCGCTGCTAGGGGGCGCGGCATTTTCGAGCTTTATGTGGGTAAAGCATCTAGGGCTTATTGTCGCGGAACTGCGCGCAAGATTCGCGCTCAGCGGTCAGGATCAACGCCTCCCTTTGGCGACGCTTCTCTAGTATCCGGTCTCTTCTGGATAGCTTTCATGGATTCACTGACGATGTCGTGTTTGATGTTTAATATTAGTTCATTTACAGTTTCTGTTTAAAATCAACCTCTCCAGGGATGCTAACTATTGCTCTGTTTTGAAAGCCCAGGCGTTCGACTACATGATGTGACAATGCTACAGATATTGGGCCCTGATAATACCAGGAGTAAGATAATATATCCTATATTATCTTACTCCTGATAATACTAGCATCATTCAAAACTAGTCGTGATAACTGCTATGTACTGTTTAAACGGACCTAGTGCAGTATTGTTTCAGCCCTAACCATCCGTTTGTATGATAATATCAGGAGTGAATAATAGAGATGTTATATAATTTATATAT